ATACCTGGGCCCTGGTCACATGATGACTAATACCTCGGCCCTGGTCACATGATGACTAATACCTCGGCCCTGGTCACATGATGACTAATACCTCGGCCCTGGTCACATGATGACTAATACCTCGGCCCTGGTCACATGATGACTAATACCTCGGCCCTGGTCACATGATGACTAATACCTGGGCCCTGGTCACATGATGACTAATACCTCGGCCCTGGTCACATGATGACTAATACCTCGGCCCTGGTCACATGACCGGGTCAGGCTCTAGTTGCGTGAACAGGGCTGTGTTGCCCACCACTTCCATGCTGCCAGAATATTACAGTGAAACCCCCGGCCTAAACATAGAGAGAACGAAGGGGAGGGGCTTATTGCTCCTGGAGAAGCTTCCTTAGCAAAACGCATTGAGAAGCTCATTTTATGGCACCCAAGACTTTGCCGGATTTTATACTTATGATAAACTCACAACTATAGAAGAACTGAAATCCCCCATATGTATTGGTCTAAGGTCGCCCCAAAAGATGCCGAGTACGGGATCCATATGTTCCATATTTAAGCAGTTCTGCTCCCCCTCCCCCCCCCCGTGTTAATGTGACACTAAAAATAAATGTTACTTTGTATCTTCGGACTGAAGGATGTTCACAAACACTGGGTCACATGATCTATTTTTTTGACAGCAGCAACTTCTACAGCTCTATATTTACACGGCAACTCCCGGCTGTCAATGTGACAGCCGAGAATTGCCGGGAAGTGCAAGGGGGAGCAGCAGAAGAACGGGACATACCACATGCTTCCTATGTACTTCTATGACGTTCATGTGTAGGACGTCCAATGTCCACCGCGGGTTAAAGCTGAACCCCAAGAATGCTGCTATCGTGCATATACAACTGAACACACATGCGACTGGCAAGTGTTTACCTTCCAACGGGTTAGTAGTTCTGTGACCCCCCCTCCCCTCAATGCACCGTAGTCCCGCTTTTACAGAGCGTTGAGGCTTGTGTGGTCACATGACCCTGCCAGCTATACCTGTGGCAGCAAGCCATGCCGGTAAGGTCTCCAACACTGACCCCCCCCCCCCCCCCCCCCGACCCAG